CTCTTCCCCCTTTTACAGCTTTATATTGAATCAGACAGAGGGAGGAGGTCATAAAAATGAGCGAGAGACAGCGAGAGAGAGTGAAGGGCTGATGGGACAAATGTGGCAAAGTTGAGATGAGGGTAGCACACCAGAAAGCTCTAGATGCAGTCATCCAAGACGCAGAGTAATCACAGAGGGACTGCCAACTGGAGGGTGTTTAGATATTATACATATTGTATGTCGATGGCGTGCAGTGACTTTTACAGATAAGCAAGCAGAACTAACTACTGGTTAAATATAGATATGCGCATTGAATAAATATGTCTGTGAAAGCTTTCCTTGCAAAAAGAGTTATCAAAAGCCGCTCCACATTACACACTAACTCCTCGTCGTCACGCATGTTGACGAACGTGATTAGCGGTGTAATTTGCTCATTCACTAGCTGCTGCTAGCTCTTAACGCCTAGGAAGAAAAGACTGTTGAAGCAATTTCTAATGTGCAAGTACACTTTCTACACGCATCTGCGTATGTATATAATAATACATGTAACTGATCTCAGAACGGTGGAAGCTGAGTCTGTAGCTAGCATCATACTTTGTCAACGGGACATGGTCACACCCATGAAAACGACAGAATTGATAGATATGGCGGCTGCTAGTCTACCTAGCTTCCAGAGACAACAGCTTGCTGCGGCCACAAGGGGGGCAGTAAATTAGAAGATGATTGCAAACAGTCAATATCAGATCCTTTGTGGGACCGGGCGCTGTTCTGAGACGTAAGGCGAGATATTGCTTGTACTTCTGCATCGTGGTAATTGATGTCTATTTTTATCTTTAACTGGTCAAGCACTGCTGGCCTTGCTTGTCCTGAGGGCACGCCACTGTTGTACGTGGTGTACGTGTTTGAGTGTGTGAGTGTGTGTGAATTGTGTATGTGTGTGTTTGCTGGTTTCAGTAGCCTTCGACTGCATCACGCGGAGACCTCCAACAGGCGAGTGAAGTGTTTCTCGAGTGAACCCCTCAACAGCAATATGCCTCATTCCCTGACAATATGATTCAACCCTGCAGCAGCCATTAGTCACTGTTCACTCAGCTCTACTACATTCGGCCGTACAGCTCCAATGAACCGAGACGTATAAATACCCACAGTCCAAAGCGTGAAACAAGAAAGAAGAGAGAGGAGAAAAAAAAAACAAAAAAAAACAAACCTAACCTAGCTAGAGTGGGAGTGTCTGTTGTGTTTCATTCTGCTCTCCTCTGTTCAATTACTTTTCTGAAGGCTGCTCTCTGTTCGCTTGTGTTCTGCTCTGCACCATTCACCCCCATTCTTTTATACTCCATTTTACTTTGGCTTTGTCCCATTTCATCCTGTTCTGGTGCCCGATATGATAATAAGTAGAAACAGTGGCAGAGCTGAGAGCTGTTTTAAATTGCAGCTTTGATCAAGGCTGTGCGCACAACTTAACTGCGGTAGAATGGAGTCTGTAAATAGGCTCAAATGGCCCTGAACCTATTCTCCAAAAACAAATTGCACAAGTGGATCATGCTGCCAAGGGCTGGCTGTGGCATCACGTGTAATGACTAATAATTATCACCGATGCTTTCCGTCTATAAATTGAGTGTAATATTGTAGAAACACCTACTCCGTTTCACTTTGTTCAGTTATTTCTTTATTTTATCAGGCATACAAATGTTTCAAATTACCAGGTGATAAAATCTGTCTAATGACTGATTATTATTGCTGTACACACACACAAACACACACACACTCTGATGCAATTTCTCTTTTTAGAAAATAATGATCTAATGTCCTGTTCCGCACTGCTAATTTGCTCATTTCAATTCTATCCCATCTCATTTGAAGAATACCATTTCATGAATGCACGACGATTAATCCTGCTGCACACATAATTTGCCACGCTCAAGAGCACATCAGCGCAGCTATAAACAGGTCGAGTGTAATGGTGTGTGAGGGATGCATGTCGCACGGTGCGGCACGTGGGAACACGTGGAAAACGACAAGTAAACAGCTTTGGATTTGAGATGTTTCAATGAAGTCATTAGACGCAGGGAGGAATTTCAAATGGCATGCTACTTAAACAAACACATGCACATTAATTCACAGAGGCATGCATTTTTTCAAATATGTTATATGTTCCCTTTCGCAAGCCCACGCGCAGCAGCATCAAACCAGATTTTGCCTAATTATCTTAAGCTAGAGTTTCACGCAGTCTTTGACACATTTCCCCTGAAGCATGTGAAAATGTGTAGCTATACAATAAAGACAGATTTGACTTCAGTCATTAGCCTTATCCACCCCTAAACCTCGCAATTTTCCCAGCCGGTGCGTCTCTGCTGCACCATATTTCATGATGTGACAGAGGAATCACGAATCACTTCACACATCAACAATATTAAGATGTCAAGAACGTGCGCATATGTGTGCTCAGTAACGGGATTTTTGATTTCGTGTCAGATCTCCCACAGCTAAGGCATGTTCTCTGCACCAGCTGCCCTTGAGGTAGTCCAACTGCAGAAAACCATCCGGCAGTTTCTACGCAAACCCAAAACACATAAATACACAACCATCTCCCCCCAAAAAGGCAAAGTAACAGGCTACAGCGCAGGCGATGTCACGACCAAAGTTCTCCACTGCACAACCTTTATAATGTTCCTGCCATATTCTGCCTCCACGCTCGGCTACTCTGTTGTTGTCTTGTTATTGTCGGAGATCGCAGGACGCTTGTCAGACAGGAAGAGAAAACAGAAAAAAACTTTCCACCGCCTCCTCCTCCCCTGTCTCCTTCCTCTCCTACTTCATCTTTTGTCATCTTTCTGTGCTCCCTTGTAGTCTGGTGTGCCTGCTGTGCTAACCAGGCCCGGTTAATCCTACGCACAGACAGACAGAAACACTCGCCAACAGGTCCTGGCCTGGGTTCAGTCATTAATGAATTTTCATTCATTATATAAAGTGTGTGTGTGTGTGTGTGTGTGTGTGTGTGTGTGTGTGTGTGTGTGTGTGTGTGTGTGTTGTGTGTGTGTGTGTCAATTAGTAGCAAAAGAAGGCAGAATGTGCAACAGATGTATGGTTTTTAATGAGTGTTGAAGATTTCATTGTGGTTTTTATGCGTCTTAATAATCCTTCTCAGAATGACACATAATGATACATAAACATTTCTGATGAGACTTTGACACATAGTGAGACCTTGGAGCGACACAGTGAGTCAGAGTGAATTACCATCAATGTCACATTAATACTGCAATCGCAACAGAGGATGCATAGCACGTATAGTAAGCATGAGACACCTCCACTGACTGTTGTCTTGCATAGTTTGGACTTGATGTCTATGTGCATGACTTGTCTTGCACATAGACATGATTGTGTATGAACAGGCAGGATTTTTCATATAACAACAATTTTTCCTTTAATAGTCAGCAGTGAGAAAAACTCCAGGAGGAACATGTTTGGATGCATAGCTTTAATGCCTCATTTGATGCGGTTATTTTTATTTTGATGACACTGTGGAGTCGTGAGCATAAATTCAGGAGTATTCGGTTCAGTTTATTTTAGTTGAAAACTCAATTGCAGCTTGTGGGGAAAAAAAAGAAAACCTTTAAACACACATTAGACAAATTGGCAGTGGGATGTGCAGGATCAGGGCCTCTGAGCTGCGTGTGCGTGCGTGCATTGTATTTCAGTAAAATGTACTAAAACTAATATCAACTAGGGATTCAAAGACGGTGCTTAAATCACTCCAATATTCCACAGACAGTCTCATCCCACTGCACACCTACACCAAACAGACAGGTCCATTGACAGACCTGCTGCTGTCACCACTGCGCCAAAGCTCACCACTGATTCTATCTATCACCTAGTATGTTATCGTGTGTGTGCAAGTAACACTGAGCATGTCATTTATCGACATTAAGCAAGAATTGTATCATGATAATATGATCAGATTATGTCCCTGTTTCTGTTTACCGAATGAATCTTTCTGAATGGCGTCATGCACAGCAGTGGACAGGGCAGCATGTGGTTTAGTATTCACTGGAGTCATGTTGGGATATATATCGACTTCATATTTTAATCCTTGTTAATATTAGAATATTGATTTAAATCACATCGTCCATCCCTGGAAAGCTACTTTGACCAGTTGAAGAATGTTTCATGAGCCACAGTTTTTAGCAGAAATGCTTTTGAACGATCCATAATTGTAAATACTAATTTAACTACAATTAAGAAAACAGTGTCTCTTTTTCGTTGTTGTGTGTATTTATTGTCCAACTTGCACCATTCAGAAGTCCTAAAATACTCTGATGCTTCACGACACACACCATTGGCTGCGTGTGTGTGTGTGTGCATGTGTGAATAATTTAAGGCAGCACTCTACAGCGTGGGTTTCATCCAATCAGGCAAATGAGGGAACCCTAAGGAATAGGAGCACCGTTCTTAGGATTTCTTCTCTTGCTGCATTATCATATCAACTCCACAATGACTTTAGAAGCAAACTGGCTGCAGATCAGTGCTCGTATTAAAGGTGCTTTAATGCTAGCAGCTCCCACCAATTAGGGAGAGAGATGTGTTGAATCTGAGATAACTGGACAGAGAGAGAGAGAGAGAGAGAGAGAGAGAGAGAGAGAGAGAGAGAGAGAGAGGATGAGACCAATCATATGTTAATTCATACATACATGAAAGTACACACAGATACACACAGAAGACATCTGCTTCGTATTGGACAGTGAACACCAGTGAGCCGTCAATTCCCTCCTGCATCTGAGTAGTAAAAGCCTTTTGAAGCAATGGTGTTATAAAAGAACCTGGTATGTGCTGCTACTTAACAGGTAGAGATACACTTCACCAGCTACAGCCACCACCAGAGAACACAGGAGATGCTCCAGTGGAGATGTGTATTTGTCAAGCTTTCTGTTGGATGTTAGCAGGGCTTTGTTTCAGGCTCAGCACCGGGTTGAGAGTGAAGTAACTGTGCTGTTAAGTGCGTGGTTGTCACAGGTACTTACTGCACAGACTTGGAGGACTGGGACCTGAACTTGCTGAACTCGCCTGGAGCGGTCCACTCTGTACCCAGCTGCAACACACAAGGCAGGAGACACAGATCAGAGAGAGTGTGGGAGAAAGAGGAGGGGGTGGGGCCGGGGAGAGAAAGTGCGAGAGCAGGGGATAAGAACAGCATAAGAAATGTTGAGGCACACTGAAAAGTATTCATCTGAAACATCCTTCTTAGAAATCAACTTTGCGAGCCAGAAACAGCTGCGTAATGATTTTTACGCACAGACTATTTAGGGAGGAGCGCTGTCTGTAAAGAAGGTGGACCTTATGAGTTCATTTTTAATCCAGAAAACAGATCGATTGATTGAAAGGGAAGCTGAAAAAGATCCCGATCACCTCCCTGGTTATGATAGCACAGCAAATGAAGAGTAATTGGGAAAACAAGATTACATTCCCCAACGCAACAGTTGGAATCAGTCAGGAGGCAAGTTCTGATCGGCAAAGTGAGCAAACAGACGATAGCTAATGGCCATAAACTGACAGAAAATGAGAAAGAGCGGTTCCATGCCAAAACTGACTCCAAGAAGCCGGCTCATCGGGAACCCCGGGGCTCCTGTTTCAGCCCCGCGGTCGATTCACTGCCCATTCATTTCCTAAGCATGCCAACTCACTAATTAGGGCCCCCTGCTGTTGCTGATCCATAATGAAAGAATAAGGCTAAGATCACAGTGGGCATGGCCTTTAATTGTTTGTGCTGGCCACATGTCCGGGTTTGAAACTGCTCCGCAAATATTGTGGTGTGTGGTGGTGACAGATCACAAGAGCCTTTCGGCTTGTAAATAGCTGCTGATCCTCACTCTGGGTACCACAATGCAGCCCACACAGTAACGCACACCTGCAACATAATGACACTTACACGTATGAAATGGCAATTATACAACGGCACGTCTAAGTGTGTTTGCTGGCATGTGAAGAGAGCCACTATGCCACTATGGGGAACAAAAATACTCAAAAACATGGAGTAATGTCTGTCCAAAAATCAACCGGGCCCCTGGCAGTGCCGAAGCCTCTGAGAGTCTCTGTGAAGCAGTTGGCTGGAGAGGAGGAGGACACAATGTGTGCTACTGTGCCTTCACTCTGAAGCCCACAGTATGCTGCTGCTGTAGCACATTTCCACACCAACAGTCTCCTCATATATTCCTCCTCCAGCACAGAAGAAGAAAAAAAGGTAGGAGTTAAATGAAAAAGTGGGAAAGGTAATATATATATATATATATATAACTTTCTCAGGTCCCGCAGTTTAATACACTGAGTTTACATTAAATATGAAAACTTTTCTTAAAGACATTTAAATGTTTAGTGACTTTGGAACTGAATTTCCAATTAGAGTTATTTGATGTTGCCAAATGTGGAGTGGAGAGCAGGTTCACTCATAAATGATGTGATGCTGATATGATCTTGTGTGGGAATTCAAACATGAAAGTTTTTAACTAGCACTGAGGCTGCTAAATTTTACAATAGATGGACAACTGCGCACATCAGACAGTCTGAGGACCATCCGACATCAGACATCGGCCACAAAAGGCTTTTTCCACATACGCAACATTACTCCCCAAGACCCATAAACAGACTTTCATGTGTAGGTTGGCATTAAACATCTGTCCATAACGAGACCCAAAGGCTCCAGCCGCTGTCTGCAATGTCAGACACGTCCGATCCACTTCCAGATGACATGGATTCAGTGTTCTTATTGGTGCACCAGCAGACAACCTTGTGTTAGTTACCCTTGATACACAATTGACTTGTTAATCCCTGTCGTCATGTATGTTGGATGGTTTTTCTAGGTTAGGGGAAAAACAAACCAAAGCTTTGATGCTGCTATGCTTACAGTCTTACATTCTATATAATATATATCTGTTTGCACATAAGAACAATTTGCTTATTAATACACCAACACTGCCACCTCTTAGTATTACATGTACTAATTATCTGCATTAGTCACAATTGTATTGTCTACGCTCCTCTTGTGCTTACTCGTGTTGTGTTCTGTATGTGTGCAAGTTGACTTGAGCGTGTGCAGTAACCCTTGTTTTCTACATGAATAAATGAGACCTGTAGCTCATTTAAGTCCAAGAAGGCTTTAAGTTTTCATTGTGTTTTGTTCAGCTCACCCTGATTTGTGACAGGAAGTCTGCAGAAAGTCCTGCAGTAGAATCTCATTTAAACTCATCTCCGTCATAGGAATCCCTATTAAAATAAAATCTGTGTTACCGCAAATTGCTGTTGGTTTCTTAAGAAAAGCAGCCAAGCTTCAGTCAAACTTAAATAACTTTGACAAGAAAGAGCTGAATAGAGTTTGCACCTCAGCAGAACTTTAAAATTTTTCAAAGCAGAGGGACAAAAAAGAAAAAAAAAGAAACTGGGACTTAAAACTTTGCAGTGAATATAAATGGGAAACCTGCAAATGTCTCTAGCTGCTGTGCGTACATGTTTATATTTTTTCCTTGCGAATGAATTTCTTTCTTGTGAAAAAGCTGTTGTTCACGAGATGAAAAAGTGAGTGATCACACAGCAACGGCAGCACTGCAACAATATTCATCTCTTATCCACTGCCAACTCTAAATACAGTAAATCTTTTTTTTTTCTTTCAAATGAGTAAAACAAATGTCGGTACAGGCAAAAAACATGATCATTTCATTTGATTCCTCAGTAAATATTAACTCGTGGCACTATCTATGCAAATTGTTGTGATTTATACTATGGCTTACACAAGCAAACAATGTATTTCAGATGATGTATCATAAAATTTTAAATTCATACTTTCGCACGTCTCTCCAATTCTCTCACATGAATGTGTCAGTAATTAAAACTATCTCTTCTCCACGGGGTTTTGGATGATCTAGATTTCTTTGCGAAAAGCTGTAAAAAAATGTAAATTGAAGGTTTTAAAATATGTAGCTTTGCACAAAGGGGAAAAACATTAGTGTCAAGGAGCAAATCTCCTTCCAGAATGAAAGGTTGTTATTTTCCTTTCTTCCCTGTCAGATGGTTAATCAGCTGTTCGCGAACAAAGGCTGTGATCAAAGACATTGTTACAAGGACAAAACACGTGAAGTACCGCAGCTCTGCAATGAAAGTGGCAGATGTTCTCCGAGGTACATGTGCACATGCAGTACATGAGAAACACATGCACGCACACACTCACATGATTTGCCACTGAACGATGAGTCACTGCTTATTGAGAGCAGCATCTCCTCACCACAGTAGGCAGGAGGTAAATCAGAAGGCAAGCAGCCAGGTAGACATGAGGGGGCACACACATACACACACACACACACACACACACACACACACACTTCATATTACATTTTAAAACACACCCCCTCATGGACTTACTGTCATACTTTCCCTCTACTTTAGAAATCTCCTATAAGGCAGGGGGAACTTGGGGACTCAATTTCTTAAACTTCAAGCAGACATACACCAACCTTGCTCTAATGTAACCTCTCTCACTCTTTTTTCTTTGCACTTGCAGACACAAACACACACACACACACACACACAGCCACTGCGTCTCTGTGTGAACCTCACCCACACATGAGGGTACCTCGAGAAAATCTCATTTTCAGATGGCCAGTGGCCCTGCATCACTGAGAAGTGGAACACAAAACAGGGTCAAGAAAAAGAAGAAATTTGAGTGTGCAATAGAAATATGGAGGCACTCCTCCTCTCTCTGTCAACTCTTTTTTATTCTAAATATTTTTTTCTCTCAATATGAGAAAAGAGAAGTAATAGAGAAACAGTTGACCTGTGATATAACCTCAGAATGCTGTTTTCTTCTTATTTTATTCTTTTACTGTCCGCGTGGTTTTTCAATTGAACTTGAACTATTGTAGAAAATAGTGTGCACGCTCATGCTCACATGCCTAGTCACATGTTTTTCTAGCATGTGCACCAGAAAAATGCAGACATATACTCTTGCCATGAGAAAAGAAGTATTGCATCCATGCAGAAAACAGGAGAGCAGGAAACAGGACGTTTGAAGAAATGTTTTCTTTTTACTGAAATAATGGCCACATTCCACTTTGAGTAAGTGCCATGACCCCTGGCATTGTACACAGTGGCTCACTAACACACTTGAATGGACCAGAACCATTATTAATGCTTTTAGGTTCACTTGTGTGTTTCTTGCTATAACAAGTGAAAATTTCCTCAGTGAGAAAGGTCTATTGTAACCAGAAAAGCTTGCAATCAAATGAGAGGCCAGAGTTCTCTGTGCTGAAACCTGGCTGTAATTCCACAGTTCAGTCTTTATTGTCATTGTAAGCTCTCTTTTCTAATAATAATAATGTAAAATATGTACAAAATAAAAGGCAATGGCCCACTTTTACAAGCTGGAAGTTTATCAGATAAAAATATGACTTGTAATGCCAAATAACATTTTTATGACAAGGAAAAATACTTATAATACATCACTAAAACAGACATTTTGACGAGTCCTGACAAGAAGAGTACAAGTTCAACTAATAACATTACTTATGGCAGCAGCTTTTAACTTACAGGATTCAATCACCCACTGAGAACTGCACCGACTACATTAGTAAGGAGACAAGAGTAAGAAAGGAGAAATATCAAAATGATAAAATTTTCAATGCCAAGCATCCATGCATGAACCAGAAGTAAAAACCAAAACGGCTATATCAACATGACCCTTTCTTTTTTAATTTATATATTTTTGTAGGCCAGGTGATAAAAACAAAAATGAAAAAAGGTTATTCATTAACTGACTCAGAGGCTCCAGAAAAACATACTGACTGCAATAATCTGAGCTCAGTACAGACAGTAGACAGCGTCACTGCAATCAACTCGATGTGGAAAGAAAAAAAAGGAAGTGATACAGGTGCAGTCAGAGTCATGGTCAACAACAGTCTTTGTTTTGATTGTGACCCCTGGGTGCACTTGTCTCATTAAGCAGCAATAATTGGTGCCTTCGAGTGGGATTGTGCTCACAGAGCCCATTTGAATCAAGCGCAAGGTTTTTGAATGGTAATCTTCCCTCCTTTAAATCAGTCACAAGAATTTCATTCATTTTAGTCTGGAGAAAAAAATCTACCTGCAGATATTTCAAACCGGCTTGAGTCTAGCAATCCGTCACAATTATCCGCATGTCTGTTTTTATTGTTGTCAAAGCTGCATTATCAATGGGTGGTTATACAGCTGTTAGGCTAGTTTGAATCAAACGTTCTGCACAGACTAATGTAACTGCAACAAGGATAAAAGCAGACAAAGGCATGCTGCTCGCTGTGATGGATTGCCTGTCCCAAGCAGGTTTAAATTTTTAATCTTGGGGGTATCCATTTTCAATTCATTGTTTTCTTTTCTTCTTTTATTATTTTGTGCTATTCATCATTTTTGGACAGATGCTGCCACCTGAACTCTATCTGGCAATAAAGTGTTTGGGAAAACAACAGAATAGGCTGTTCTGTTTTTACAGCAGACATTCTGACATGTCATAGCAGGAGAACACTAACATTAAGGACCGCTGTGTTCTATTCAAGTGTAAGCCATAGCAATGTGACAGTAGGCCAGCGGGACCTGGAAACTGAAGCAGCTAAATGGAATGAATTCATTAGTTTTTATTACTTACACCTGCTTTTCCCTCTCTGTCATGTTAACATGTCTCCTGTGAAAGAGGCATTTACAAAACTGACCTTTTCATCACTGTGGAGCAAAACTCTAGTGGTGCCTGTTACTGCCACGGTGACAAAGTCTCGTCTGTCAGAGAATAAGCAGCTACTGTTGCTGAGGAGTCTCATATTGATTACATCCAGTTTCCAGTGCACGTCCTTTTGTGTCTGCTTTATGAGCCACACAGAGGAGGTATCGCAGCACTTACAACACACATAGGTGCCTGCACTAGGCACAGACATGTGCGCTACATCGGTGCATGAACATACACACACACACACACACACACACACACACACAACCTTGCACACACATGCTTTGTGCAACTCATAAGTCTCTCTCAATATCAGACAAGCTCTGGTCTGAGTCTGTGGGAAGCTCGGCGGGAGCTGTCTGGACATTCTGATTGAAGGAAAATCTCATTATAGATTAGCTGTGGGCAAAAAATATGATTAATGCCAAGGCGGGACAATGGATGATCCTCACTCACATTAAGTACGTTCGTATGCGCACAGATAATGTCCCAGCAGGGCCGAGGAGAGTGTTCTTATTAGAATGACCCCCCCCCCCCCCCCCCCCCCCCCAACACACTGACCAGCTGGTACGTGCGAGCGACTGAACAGAGGAAGTAACTGTGATTCAAGGGTGACTTTGTCTTTCTATGAGAAACAGCATTGAAGGACCTCTGTAGACACCTTTTCTATGTCTTCATATAGTATATCTGTGTGTGTTTTTGTTGATTATGTGTGTGAGAAAGACATAAATAGCTGATGTCATCATTTTGTGAAGGTGTGCTGCGGGGAATCGGGAGCTGTCAGTCACAGTCGGTGCATCATTCAAACGCTAGCCACAAAACGCTGATGGGGGTCTCCACGGAAACGCTTCAGCTCCCTGCTTCTCGTCCTATCGCAGCTAAATGTCTCACGGCAGCACATTCCATATATAGCCAGTTCATTATCGAGGGTGACGATGCTGCGACCATGAACACGAAGAGGCAATAATTTACCATATATGTGTATTTTTAGGCCGGTGAGTCAGTTCACAAAAAGAGCAGAAATTACAGCCAGGCCATTAGTAGGAGCAAAGATAAGAAAACTATACAAATCATCTGACACTCACAATGAGCACACGCTCTAACGATTTCAACATTTTATTCAAGTCATCACATTTTCTCTGCCTAATTTTTCTGCAAGCAATGTTTCTGCACAGACATTATGCCAGGGGGTCAAATTTTACTTTCACTTAAAAAAATGAATCTTATCCTTAACTTCTTAGAATAACTCCAGCACCTGCCAGAGCACAAAACAACAAATTTATGAATTTATTTTCCCAAAACACTGGAACATTTCCAGTTCTAAACCTCTATCCATTAAAAAAACATACAAACTTCAGAAAGCTCACTCAGTTAGATGGGAGCCCTCTCACAGTCCTGTCCATGCTGCATTCAAGTCATCATTTCCGATGTTCTGAAGTTTAAGCCACTTTTCATTCAATTATTTTTTAGGTTATATTACATTTATATCTAAAACTATGTATTTAGAAGATACACATATACTGTGTATTCTGAAAGAAGTTTACCTACCCAATTAGCTTTGACTTTCCTTAATGTCAATTTTTTTCTGTCTGTTGCACAGAGACCACAGTGAATGTGCCGGTGTTTGTGTACCACTGTTTACTACTCTAATACTTAAGAGACAGGTGGATAAAGCATAATGTGTTAACTTAATTATTACACATTTAATTTATTCATTTAAAACAGATATAGTTACATGTAATTATCTAAATTTTATTATCAGCTATATGTTATTAGAAGGATTGAAACAGCATAAAAAAGTGTGAAGAAAAGTTTCAGATTCCTTTAGAGCTAAAGGTCTTTAGAACAGCCTGTGCAGTAAGCCTTTTTTCCAATTAGCAAAGCACTGATTTAACATAAACTTGGTGATAGGCAAGGACATCAGTATATGCTGTATATGGAACACTGAATTAAAGAAAAAATTGTGTAAAATGTAAAAATATTTTGGCTCCTCTTTCAAAACAATTATTACTTGCCATAAACGAAAACCCCTTTTTTCCCCCTAAACTCATTCAGACACATGGGTCACATAGTGAGGAACGGAGTCCAGAGTGAGATTTTTATCTATGAAACACAATGTGTCTCTGAAGACAGCGGAGGCAGCGAGGCCTGTCTTTCTACCACTGGCAGGATGAATGATCCCTGGCCATAGCACTGCTCCCCTGCCATTACCTAGATGATATTTCACCACTGCTAAATGTCACATCAATATTCGCTGCCAACTAATTAATCTCAGCTCCCATGGAACCTGGTGACATCTTCACATCCTGTTGGAATACAGATGGCTCCATAGCTGGACCTTTGCTCTTAACACATATTTGCCCAGAGCACTCATATGGTGCAGTTCAAATACTGTCCAACCTCATGCATCCTGTCCTTCTTAAATTTTTCATAAGGTTTCACTAAGAAAACTTTATTAGTGACTGTAATACAACACAGCTTGACTTTTATTCAATTGTGGGCAGACGGTCCTTCAAGGATAGACGGGAAAGGAAAACCATTTTTCACGGGATGTTCTACAGGAGGATTTAAGTCTCCTGTATTCTGAGCTGCGTGTTGGACCTGAGTGATAGCCGGAGCGTTAGGATGGTGACAAGAGGTGAGCCGGTGATTACTAAAGACGAACAAGGTCAAATCGCTCAGTGTCCCTCCTGTTGGTGTAAGACTGAGCTCTGGCAGAATTAAGGCTTATGTCATTGACCGATCAGGACCCAATGTTCCCAAAGCTCTCTCAGCATGGACGTCAGATCATGGCAATATTAATAAGGAAATGTATAGATGAATACTTCACCATCTCCAATCCGTCATTTTGTGCAGGACTGTTTATGAAGGAATCCATCAGATGCCATTTAGAGCTATGAGTCAGCCTTAGATTGAATATCATATTAGATAATAAAGTCACTACATAGTCTAATAATAAGGTTTTGGCTTCCTTGCACATATTGTACTCTGGAAGTGTTTTCCCAGGGGTATATATTAAACAAAGTGTTTGCTATTTAATTCATGACATTGAGGAGTTTGTAACTATTTAGGCCGCGGGTGATTTTGTTTCTTCCTGCAGTTAAAGCTTGTTGCTAAGCAATATTAGTTAAAATCAGGGAGTGTATTCATAGTCTTGGAAATCTGAACTTGGTGAATCTGCTGAGAATCACAAAGCATAAAAAAATGCTGGGATGCTGTTGATTTTCAGTTGAGTGACTCCCTCTGGTTCAGATATTATACAAGAATGCAGCACAGTGCTTACCTGTCCTACATAGACTAGCAGTCTGGCGTTGAGAGGGCTTTCATCAGGACTCAGCCACAGCTCAGAGTTATCATCAGACGATACCGAGAACTGGAAATCACCTGGAGGGGAAAAACATGATCAAAGTGTGTGTTAGTGGAAGTAGAGATATATACGATCCCAGATAAGTATAATCTGATAGCGTATGATCTCATAGAATAAATTCCCAAGTGTAAAAATACACCTAAAATTTGATGCACCGACCACCTCTGGCTGTGGTGATGACACTTTTGGCCACAGTGATATCAACAGAGTTACCCCAACTGAATTTCCAATCCATATGAAACAACTATGTGAATGCAAATGAGCATTTGTGCAGAAAGCTAAACCAGAAGCAGCATGGTAAGCACATGCGCAGCCAGTATAATTAAAGCTATCCCCTTTTAGAAGTAGAAAGTCAGAATACTTGAGGATTGTGAACAAGTTGTCAATTTTGTCTAACAACTAACTATTAATAGTAGGAGCTGCATAAAGCGTCATTCCCCCGAGTGGCTGCTGTATGAGACACTTTCTTTTTATGTTGAGACTTTGCAGTTGTTTGTCACTCTTCTGGGGTGAGGAAATCAGGGTTCGCTGGGTGTGGCAAACACCAATGTATATAGTAGATGTACTTGTACTGTATTGAAATTGTGTAGGAATTCTTCAAATAGACACTTTAAAATACATTGAAAAATCTAAATATTACCTGGTTAAATCAAGGCATAATTCACATGTGTAATATACTTGGATCTGACTAAATAAAGACGATAAAAGAGCAGCTATATTCTCATGGATACACCAACTGCCTATAGATGAGATGGATATCATGTGCCATTGAGTCGTTTTTATTGTCTACAACCTGGAAAACCTCAGAACATTTCTACGTGACTAACTCTTGACACTCAATCTACAATAGCATCTAACAGGTTGTCTCTGGCAATGTGAGGTGAAGGCACTTGTGGAGTGCTTGTGAGAATCCTGAAGATAGTATGACCTTTGAGCCATTAACTGAAGAAAGCCATACTAGCAGTGAAAGCAACATAAGAGAGTGAAATGAACGATATCTAATTAATAACTTCATATTCTGCAATTTGTGTAAGGGCACTTGGGTGTTAAGGCTTTTTCAGTTCCCATAGCAACTGGGCTCAAGGGTAAGCCTATGAGGGTACTGCATGAGATTTAGCTGTGAGATCGCTGGCATTCAGCGCTAATAAAAATGTGAATATCCACTATAGTAGTGGCTCTGAAGCATTTGGATTAAGAGGGCTGTGGAAATTGTCTACTCTCATAAAGGACACATGCTCCAAGGCTCTCAGCCTCAGAGGAGGGCCTCGCTAATACGATGAGCTAGTTACCGTCTCTGTAAGGATGAAGGAAGCCAAATATTCTCAGGCCATAGTTCTTCCACTTCGGAGCTACTGCCAGCTTCTTCACTGTGGTTCTGGTCTACAGACAGAAACAGAAAAAAATTAGATCATGCATCAGTTGCTGCTTTTTTTTTATGTTAGTAAACCCTTTCCACCGGTTGACCGTTTGCTATACCCCTCCCCCAAAGAGCCACTATCCAATCATAGCTTAGTGTGCATCTAACTCGGGTAAGAGCAACACTCAGTGTAAAAAGTGTTTGGAGAATGGTGTCCTGTTTTAAGTCAAAGCCAAAAATGGAGGACCGAAAGTGTAAGTAACGTTAGCATGTCCATGTGCTAACAAGCTTACTATCAAAAAAGAAAACAACAACAACAACAAGAACAACAAAAAACATGATATATGTGCTCTATATAGTATTTCCCCACTGTGTGGAGGCTGGTCTTGGATGTAACTGTGTCAGTATGTAACCTAATTTTAGCGCTCTGTCTTGTTTTGTTTTTTTGTCATTTTTATTTCTTTAGATTAAACCTCTTTATTGTTTTTTCAGCATTCAAACATACATTAAACACACAAAATATTCAAACAGGTAATAAAATAAAAAGAAGCGTGAGAAGAAAAAAATAACAAACAAAAAAAAAAATATGCACATTCCTCAGTGTGTGACTCAGGTTATTAGACAGCAATATTAAAATTCACATTCCTCCATCGAGCATAGACAATTATATGATGCATAGAGAATAGGGGATGGGATACATGAATATCAGTTGTCTTGGTGATCATCTCTACTTATTGCTCACAGATACGGACCCCATATATTTCTAAATACATCTAGACTATTATTAACTCTGTGGATTAGCTGCTCAAAAGAAGTCATCCGAGCCAACTCGTCTCTCCATTCATTAAAACTGACACGCTCTTTTGACTTCCAATGCCTTAACACTATTGTGCTTCTCGTTATCAGGGCTAGCTTAACCCAGCAACACACCTGCGAGGGCAGATTAACTTCCGTTGGCAAAATACCCAATATGCATTATGCTGGATTCGCAATCTAGTTCTACTATGCTAATACAATTAAAAATTAGTTATGTACCATCTGACATTCATTTAGCATGTGAGATAATGTGCCTTTATTCCAATTTGTAAGCCCCCAACCTAAAAGCATTAACTCTTACAACATTAGAAGAGAAACATAGGTGCAGGTGTAGCAACAACTACGGGGGGAGGAGGCTTTTGCGAACAGTCAGTTTGATGCATCTTTAGCGTTACATTTAACCAACAAAAACGCAGAGCAGTAACAGACAGAAGGTCACTCAGTCTGCTGTGTAATACTTACATGAGGGTAGAGAGGGAAGTGCAGGTTCTTTCTGAGCTGGGCTATGGAGGAGCCGCACCAGTCCTCAAACACATGCAGGTTGGCCTGGCCCTTATACTGCCAACACACAAGCACACACAGCGAGTAATCAGGTTGGTGCACACAGTAACAAGAGCATCACATTTGCTATTAAATAGGCAGGATACGCTTCAGCACTACAGCGAGATTTCCATTTGCGCTGGTTTCGGTCGATATATTTTTGTAGTGGAATGCATGCAATTTCGGATGCCTCTCTACCACGCAGCAGAAATGAATTCTTGCTGAAACATGTGACTGCAGTGTGAAGTTTCAAATGTTCCCACTGTCCTGAATAAGAGAAGGTGACAGAGAGTTTGTCATGAGTGTCAGTGGGGGAGTGTAAACTGAGCATGATTGGAGCGAGTTTGTCAGAGCTCGTCCCCTGCCCATAGTCTGACATTTGTCTGATTTACGCAGGGAAATCACAGGACACAGCAAAAACAGATGGTGAAACCAGGCAGCCTTGGGGTATAGTTTCCTTACAAACACATGGGTCTGCTCATACATATGAAGAGATGACTCTCTGATGATTTATGTGTCAAACTTAGTATTTGAGTCACATGCGATGCAAAAAAAAAAAAAAACTCTGGCATAGATGACTATAATTTTTCACATCCTCACACAGACAAAAACATTGTCCATATACAATTTTTCAGAAAAGTGAGACATGCTCGAGAGGGGTTGGTGTGATTTCCTCAACAAGTCGCAGATAACACTTTGATTGTTACACCTCATTCACACGGTTTTGCACGAGAGCAAACAGTAGAAGGCAGAGATGCGACTAGAAGCGCTGATGCATGGTCGCACATTTGCACGCAATGCTCGGTGCAGCTTAGCGTCACTCTTGCGGACGTTGTCTCAGTGTGACCCGCCAGCTCTAACTCTTCATACTGGATGATCAATCAACTGTACCAACACACATTCACATACTGTGCACACACATATGCCCATCCTTTAATGTGTGACAGCAGTCCCAGCAGGCTGCTACTGTAATGCTGCCACAGATATTTAAGAACATCACACAGAAGTTGACGAGAAAGCCGAATCTCGGTGAGTGAGGATCAAAGCTAAAGCTGGCTTCACTACTTTGGCCCCCATTTCATTTGATGGAGGTGGTTTTTCTGTGTGTAGAGTAGCTGCTAGCTGTATAGTCAGCTGTCAAATCAATCAATGGAGAGTGAGAGTGACCTCATGACCAAAAAAAAAAAAAAAACACACACACATAGTAGCTGTAAATCCTGTTGTCCTTTCATCAGAGGGATTAGAGGGGCGAGACAGGGAAGCCTTTCAGAGTAAAAGCCTACAACTCTGCCTCCACGTCTACATTTAAAGGAGAAAGACGTTGACGGAGGGTGTGATGCTGCTTCAGTTTCACACAGGCATTCTAACAGATGGCCTGACCCAAAGTGGTCCTTTCCATTCCTCTCCCAGCTCTGTACGGTCAACTAAGTGCCCTGCAAGCTGACAGCAGCACGCCAATTACAGCCCATGCATTAACCATGAGATATTTTTGTTGTGCAAACAGCCCAAAACAGTGGGCAGATTTTACTTCTTAGCTTATATTTGACTTTGTTATATACTCTCTTGCAGAATGACTAATGCAAATGAAAAACAGAAAGGGTAAAAGACGGGGATTTTGTGGGGTTGACAGAATCAAATCAGAGACAAGGAACAAGTCAGAAGGATGAATGAGAATGTGTGATGTTTAAAAAGGGAGTGGCAGAGAGATTGGGACGGGGGGGGGGGCGCATAGCGAGGTTAGAGGGATTTGACAGACGGGACTAGTCCCTGTGTAAATATGCCTTATGTAAAGCTTTTAATAGATTTCCTGTGGGTTTTAAAAGCAAACCTTTTTTGGCCTGGCCCCCTCCTCACCCCGCCTCTTGTCAAATAGTTATAAGCGGGCAGCTTTCTCTAATTATTCACACACACACACACACACACACACACACACACACACACACACACACACACACACACACACACACACACACACACCCCTGTGTAGCCCTGCAGAGGCCACAGGCTGTGAAGTCGGCTTTCTGCTGGGGGGCACTTGAGTATAATTGGCTCTATTTTGTGGGTGACATCAATGCGAGAGGTCTGTCTGTGCTCTGGCCTTAACAGGATGTTGGATAAGGAATGGGACAAGAAGGAAGTTATGTTTTTCTTCACCCACTCCAACCTAAACTCACCCTCTTCTATCCCTGTGCTTCCTACTCAAAGAATTCAGCCCTACCATCTCTAATATTGTCTATTTCCTCTGACCTCTCTCTGTCCGCCTCTCCATTTCTACCTGTGTGCTGCAGAATACTGTTGATTTCTCCAAATTCTGTCTTTAGTTTCCCTGAGCTCAGCTGCAGATGTCATTTACCCACGCTGTCTCTCTCTATCTCATTTTTGTCTCCCTCCCGATTCCTTATTTTTGGAATAAAGAGACACTCACATTAAGTTTGTATAGAGATGGTGATTTGCATGCTTGTGCCTGTGTGTCATGTAGGGACATGGTGGTGTCTCTCCTTTACAGCTTGTCAGCTCACATTCACATTCAGTAATTGACTAAAAAGAAGCAGAATGACTAAAGCTGCCTTTCTTACTTTGCTCTCACTTTGTGCTCCGTTCCTTAATCCAAAACCAGGGGCAGACCTCTGTGCTGTCCTGCTAATCCACAGACAGGAAGGTTCAGAAAGCACTGTTTCCTCTATGGGCACCTATTGTAACAAATTCACTACAAGTAAACCAGAGACTGCAGGCGCCGCTGCATTACAAGATCAAACTAGCCGTGTCTGTCAATCACAGTCATTCCGTCTGTTCATGTGGGATGTTTGATCAGAGGTAACTTGTTCCACTTAGTATAGGCGAAAGTAGTAGGTAGCGGTGAAAGGCACAAAGTGGCTACCTGTCAGGCTAATAGCAGGGACCTCCGGGCAAAGACAGGGAGCAGGACTTACACTGGCTCTGCTGTACTGCTGCTGAACAACAGCAACACACAGCAACTCTCGATACCTGATAACCAATATATCACAATGCTTATTTCAGATGACTGATACAAACCCCTCTATTTTTCATTTTACTGAGGTACAGCCATGTGTCTTATATCAAGTAGATATTTTCACTGTAATGGGGACATTGGTGCTGATGTAGATATTTAAACACACTGTTTTTGAGTCTGCAGTTACTCAAGAAGAAGAAGGGGAACAGAAGGCAGCTACAGACAGTATGAAGAATGTAGGAAATGTGTGAAATATATCTTATTTCCCTTTTTCCTACAGCAGGTGCATCACACTGTGAAAATATGACTGGTTGTCACATGTCAAATGGGGAATATCTGCCTTCTTCACTTACTACAAAATATTCAAGAAATATAAAAAACAATGTAGATTTTAACTTTTGCAAATTAAAGTAAAACTACAGAATACTATATAATGAAAATTCTGTCTTATTTATGTCCATCCACCTCATCACTCTCCGAAGGTTGTTCCCCACTATCCTATATATAGCTACCACAGTTTCACAGCAACAGAGCACCTATACAGCTCTGACTGCCATTAAATAAGAGGGCAGGAGAGGAGGGGAGGGAGACGGAGGAAAGCAATGCCATTTGTCAAAAACGAATGCCAGAGAAAAGAGAAAAGGAATACAGGAAATGAAAGGTGCGCAGAGAGGAGCGGAGTGAGAAAACCACTGATTGATGAAGATGTTTAGAATAAAAGAGTGTATCGTATACAGCTCAGCCTAAGAGGCCGCTCTGCACAAACACACTGCGACTGTCTCGCCTATCTCCCTCAGACCACACATTTCCTCCACATACCCACACTCCTGTGAGCTTGTCTTAGCGTATCTCCGTCTCCACCGCTCTCCAATATCTCCTCTCTCTCTCACCCATCTGGTCGCACTATCAAGCGAAGCACAAATCAGACTCTCTTTTTTTTTCCTCTCTCTCTTTCTCTCTCACTCTCTCCTCTGGGAGGCTGTCTCCCTTTTTCTCGAAATCTGGTGCAGCCGTCTGCGTTCCTGCTGGCAGCAAGGCATTGACAAATGGCCGCTCTGCGCACCCACTGACGAGCAATCGCACCAACTGACACTGTAAATCCCCTTTGGATAAGAAAAGTGAGACATGATGTTCCTGGCTAAGGCACACTGGGGTATATACAATACCAGTCAGCTCGCTCCCCCAGGGCATATAGAGGAGACGACATTAAAGCTCACTGTTGATACATCGTAAACCTGCACTGTGGTTTTAATGAGCTACTATGTTGATATGTTTATGTTCGATGAATGATCAAATGATACATGTTACATGCGAAGTTACTCCCTCTGTGGCTGTTATAGGAATGTTATTGCTTAAACATGTATTAACACGCTACAAAATTTATTCAATCCAATTTATCCAATATTTCATAGAGGGCATTTAGATACTTCCTCTCTGCCTATCTCGTCTCTCTCTGCCCATTAGTAATTTAGGAAAGAAATGAAAGTAGGATAAGTCGGTAGGTACAGTGAGGAAAAGGGTTTTTTTTCAAAAAGGTAGAGAGGTTTGAAAGAAGAGATTATATGGAGTGAGATAATGAGAACTCATTTCACGTGGAGGAGAGCAGCAAAAAATGGAAGACAAGGTTCATATGATCTAGATTCCGGCCTCATCAACCACTGTAATGAGGGTTTGTATAATCTGCCATCTGTCCTACAATTACATGTCTTCCGTCATGCCAGGGATATAACATGTGGGGGGATGGATATGGCTGCAGAGGATACGTGGAACTGAGGAACGTGAGGCAAAGCACGAAGGATGAGCGGAATTCTTTTTTTTTCTTTTTTTTTTTTTTTTATCTGCTGCCACAAGCTGTCGATCACTCGACCGACTGTAATGAGAAGCCTCTAAGAGAAATCACATTTCTGCCTCCTTTTTGTCTATTTGCTGAGCATTTTTGATCGACAGATGCAAGAAAGACAGACAGACAGAGGGAACAGTGAGGAGAGACAAATATCATCCTCCCCCAGTCTAGTCACTCTCACATGATACTGTGGGATGATGGGGGGGGGGGGGTTAGGGTTAGAAAAAGAAAGAAAAAGAGAAAAGATCCTCCTCCAGTCTTGTCAATGTGTTTTGGTGTGAGGAGCCAGCTTTGACGACTGCTCCCACCTGAGTCATGTGTCTGTGCTGTGCCACAATATCTTCCTTACTTCCCTCTTGAGTGGTAAATAATAGGCTGTCCAAAGCTGCAATACCAAAAGTACATACTTTAAGACACACACATACTTCATCTCCACATCTGCAGCTTTGTCTTTACAAGAGACAGAAGACCAGACATCTGAGTCGGTCAGTGAACCAGGATCTACCTGTACTTGGTTTAACACCGTCTGAATAACTTATTAACATCATTTCATATTTATGACACATCTGGGGTGATTCATGTTAAACCTGTGCTCACTGTGGCTTTAAACGAGGAACAGTAACATGTAAAGAAATCATAGTCCCCCTAATATCAAAGTCTACAATGATTTAAGTATGACTAATCCCTCTTACCATCATTTTCTTTCTGCTACTGACGAAATAAAATTGTTCATTATACCCAAATTCTCTGTGGATCCATGTCAGCTTTGCTGGAAATGACTGTTTATCCCTTCATGCCTGGCTACTGCTTGAGTCTTCAAAAACATTTTTTTTTTTTTTTTTTTTTTAAATCTCTCTGAATTCTATCCCATGTCAATGTCCTTGACTTGCTGGTGTCCTTGACAGATGCACACAGGGTATGTCCATTCTACAGCCACATGTCTGCACTAATCCACAGCCACCTCTGGCTGACTTCACCGGCCAGGGATGCTCATTAAGTCGCCAGTATTGGCTGAAAACAACCTGCTTTCGCCAACACAGGTCAGAATCTCAGCGCTTTATTAAAAATATATTACCTTTTCCCTCTCTCTGTCTCCGTCCCTATGTCTCTCATCGGCGCACGCATTAGAAGAAATAAAGTCAGCATCTTTTCATTATGCTCGTGCCGCTCGTATGAATGCTTCTGGATGCCCGTGTGACCTCTGTCAGTCTGTGACAGCTGGCATATGGCACAACTCTACCTCCACCAGCCTGAGTCTACGCCTCTGACAGTGCGAGCTCAGTGGCCCCTCAGACCTCTGCCATCTTGGCTGTGCACCAGGAAAACAAGTTAGTGCTGGTAATTAGGACACATAGCTAGTGAGGAAAGGAGAAGAGCTGCTGCACTCGGTGGTTCCTGACAGACTTGGCTCTGGCTCGACATAGCAGAAGTCTGACATCAGACGAGGAGAGATTTTTGAGGGTGCAAGTTTATGGAGATGTTTGAAAATTTTGATGGAATTATGCTGGATTAGCAGAAAATTCGTAGAAACTAAATGGCGTGTTGCTTTATGAGTGGGCTGGAAATGAGTCAAAGAAATGGCATCTTGACTTCTACAAGCGAGCTTTGATGCCGGTCACGCTTAATGCAAAACGTAATTGCTGTGGATGTTGCAAAATTTATTTCCCTTTTGAGGCTGTTTTGCTTTTTCCGATCCAAACCATAAATAAGAAATTATGGTTGGTCAATGAAATCATGTACAAGTCTTCGAGTGCAAAGGCATCCTGTGGTTTTAACAGTTTTCACATACAAAATGATAAAAGACAAGAAAAAAAAAACAGGATGTTCATAATAAAGTGTCTCCCTGTGATCAGGCCATGAAATCCATTTACATTTGTGCAATTAGTCCACATGGTGCAGATTCAGATAGCTGGATTGGCTGCTGGCCTAGCTTGGCTGTTTCATATCAATGTGACTTCTCATTTTCTAAGTAGCACCATTTTAAATTATGCCAAAAGCATTCTGCACATTTAGACTCAGGCCTTTCAGATATTCAGGCAACAGATGTTTTTAGGCCACATTACATTAAAAACAGATATCATCCACATGTGACAACTCTCAAAGCCAAAATGACAATCCAGCAGTTTCGTTATCATTGCTTACTACACTTGAAACAAAGTATTAAAACAGAAGGATCTGAGTTTGTGAATGTATTTTAGCATTATACATGACTTCTTGGATGATTAGGTGTTTGATGTATTGTGCTGCAGAGGGAAAGCATACAGACAGAGGCAGGCTAACTCAAGACCAGCTCAGCCAGGAGAGTCTGCTGAAATAAAACTGTAACATTATCAGGCCCATTCTGTGTTCAGCAGCCCTGTGATGCTGCCTCGTGCAGAAGATTACATGCATAATGCTTTGCAGAAGCAGCCAGAAAGCTGAGTACAAGGCAGTAAATGATAAGAGAATCCTCTTTAAAAAAATAAAAAATAAAAATAAAAAAAGTAGCATGTCTCTGCAGTCCAACTGATCGACCTGAAAATAACTTTTGCAACAGTAACTTCCTATTATCTTTCTCATGCTGTGTATGAACTGTTAAGATTCTTTATAGTTTGCCTAGAACTACACACTGTGGTGCTCAGCAGAGATAGTTAAACTTTACCCCAGGTAGCAAACGACTAATAAATCATATTTTGCAGACTTGGCTTGCAGACACACACACACGCACACACACGCACGCACACACAAACACACACACAAACACACACACAATCCTTTAATTAAACTCTGCTGAATAGGTTACAAATCTAGAGCCGCTTTCCTTATCACAACTCCGTGACATAATTGCCCCATCTGCTGCTGCCTTTGTTACAGTGGGTGTGTAAACTACATCAGTAAGTGAGCTGAAAAATTAGGATGAATCACATCAACTTGTAATCTTCAGGTCCGAGGTGCCTTTAAATATAACCTGCTAATGGCTTGGGAAGAAATATTACCATCCTCTCGTCATAATCATTAGGTACGTTTTGTTCCTCTGATAGTAGTACCAGAGAAAGACTGTTTGACCTTGTCACCTGCTCTTAAAAAGGGCATCTGAAAGAAAATGGGCCTCTGACATCTGCTGCTGAATTACATAGCATTGCTATTCAAGTGAAAGGGAAAGTGGTCTCAGACTTTCGGATGCAAAAAGCAAACACTTCATTACTGAAGCAGACATGGAGAGCCATTAATAAAAACATTTCCACAAAGGTTAATCGCTGAAAGTTTGATGTGTGTGTGTGTGTGTGTGTGTGTGTGATTGTGGTTTAGCTGATGAGTCACACAAATAACAAAGCAACTGAGGGACCTCAACATAATAATGCATATCAGTCTGAAAGATGGAAGAGAGAGGTTAAAAGGAAGATAACTGAGGGATAAGTGCAAGCCTGAGAAAGTAGAAAGACAATAAATTACCTCTGGTTTCCATGGAAATTTCTTGTGGCGCTGGCTGAGGAACTTCCGGACGTGGGTATTGTCTCTGCCATTGGCCCCTCCTGTGATTGGCTCATCATCCTTAAAAAGAAAAACACAGAAACAAGGTCACACTTATTCCTCTTTAACTGCAGGGAAGAAACACTGATGAAAGGGAAAGACAAATGAATGGCGGTCTTAAATCTCAGTGGCTAAAGGCTAAAGTTATGCAGGCATGAATCCAAACATCCATCACTGAGGTAACCTGACTCTTCTCCATAAGATACATAATTGATATATGAGATAAAGTAGCATCATTAGCTAAAACCACAACCCTTTCTAGCTCACGGAGGCGCTAAGCAGCATGTACTGCTACACACAGCTGAGAATAACACGAACACACACACATGGCATGCATATCACGAAAGAGCAGGCGAAGGAAACAGGGTTATTTCCCCAGAAGGCTCCTATTAAGACCCTGTGGAATCTCTTCTTCACCATTCGCTCCTAATCCAGCGTTTGACTCGCCAAAAACCCTAATCTCCAACATACTCTAACCGTCCACCCCGCCGGCCAAGACCTCCTCTCCGGGGAGCCTGAACTCTCCCCCTGATCTGGGATTTAGCCCCATGCTCCGGCCAGAGCACCACAGGGCTCTTTCTCTGTGGTCTGCTAAGAGGCATGTTAATGCTGTGGTGTGACGGGCAGGACAGAGCAGAGGAGAGCGCAGGTTCTCAACCAGCTGTGAGGAGATAAAAGACTGCTAGGCTCCCAGAGGAGGAACCCAGTCACAGAGCTGTTAAATGAATAGCAAAGCATCCTCCATTTAGCAGGGATGTCAAGGAGAGACGTACCTCCGCTGAGACAAGCTGGAGAGCTTTTCTGCACCCCTGAAATGAGGGGCTTTTGTCGAGAAGGTGCCAGCGTTTGCGAAAGAATCAGGGGAAGAAAAAGACATTTTGTAGAGTGAAAGAGGCGAAGAGAAAGAGCTGTCGGACACCGAGCCTTTGATTACTTTTTTTTAACTTCCAAGCGAGAGCGATGAAGAGGGGCAAGGAAAGGTAATGATGAAGAAATGTGACAACAGACTCCCCTCATGTCTGCCACGAGAAAAGCATAAAATGCCTGTTGTTCGTGCGTACCCAAAGACTCAAAAACAGACTAGCTTTATCTGACACAAAAACACTCACAAGAAGATCCACTCAGTGAAGGACACAACATTCATATTGCATCAGCTGTTATCTCCCATGAAACAAAGACAGCAGAAGAATAAAAATATGAGACGGGGCTCAGCAGTCAGTAAAATATAAAGCTTAGACGAATCATGAATTGTTAAAGCACCGGGAAACTAGATTTCTACAAAAGAAAAAAGTTCTAGAGGCCTTATCTCGTAATTATGACTATCTCATAATTACAAAATCCAGATCTTGTGATTATCAATCATGGTCATTTTGAGAGGACAGAGGCATTATGACTGATTCAACTGTCTGTCCTATAGGCTCATCTGTGCCTAATATTAGTTGAATATCAATGTAAGTGTTTTTTCTTTTCTTTTGTTTTTTTCAACAAAGCATTTTCAAAAATGTCAAGTTAAACCTTAAAAGTCTTGTGCTATGTAAACTTTAACAAGAAACATAAAGTATAATATTGCCATGGATACAGTGACTTATACTGAGGGCTGTACCATGAGCTCTGCATTTTAGCCTGTATTTGTTTACATTTTGGAAAAATGAAGTGAGCCAGATTAGCTGAAGAAATGTGACAACATGCCCTTTTTGCTATGCACCACTGGATGTACTATCAGTGAATGACTGAAATTTTAAAAACCTGCTGATTCTTAAGCAAGTTCTGAAGTTCCACTTCCTGTCCCATTGGTCTATTGCACATTATCTCATAATTATGAGATTGTTTTCTCATAATTATGAGATCCAAATCTCATAGACTAATTATGAGATCTTCACTCATAATTCAGTCAGGACCACTTTAGTCAAAGGAAAGGTTTTATCTTTTGCAGTAAGTTGAATTTGTCGGTATGGCTCTGGTCTGGAAATTCCCTGAACGCTCCATGTGCACACCTGGAAAGCCTAAGGCAGGGTGAGCAGCAGCAAAGACCCTCCTAGGGCACAGAACAGCATCAATGACAACAGACACAACAGTCAGAGGCAGCATGAAAATGAGGAGCTGCAGCAAAGCAACCTGCAGAGGAAGCAGAAAGGGTAGGGATGCTACAGCAGCTTCAACAGAGAGCCTCGTATAAGATTTGGGAATCAGTAAATCATGTATACAGTATATACATAAATATAGCTGTCTTTTGGTAATGCAATGTGCTTCCATACATTTCAACACCTGCAGCAAAACATTTCTTGACACAATTGCTGGAAAGCTTACGTGATGCGGCATCTTAAATGTTTTGTCTGATATGTATTTTATAGCAGATTACCTTTCATTAGTACCACATTATATATAAAACTATATATGCTGTTTTATATTGCTGGTTCTTTAGTAAAAGTCAATATTTTCTTCTAACCTTCAGATCCAGGACTTTGTCAGTGCAGTGAAACTAATTAACAGACTCACATTTCAGTATGAAGAGTTTACACATTACTTCATTTTTTGATCTATTTCTAGAATATCTAGAAGTTACGTTTGTACATAATGATCTAAAACGGGGCAAAACCTCTTCTGCAATCCATACTGTTTTCACATTCAAATCCTTACATCTCTGTTTCCTCATTAACACTTTGCACCACTGAGTGCTTCATTATGTTCAAGCTGTTGATTTTCTTGGTTTCTTTCAAACCTCTTTGTTGCTACTGTTTCTATCACTTCTAGTAATATTTAGACCTTGAAATGTCATTGCTGTGCTCACAGCGCACAAAACCAAGAGCCAAGAGCTTTTTGTTCCTGCCTGTGACAAGCAGTTACTTTACGACTAATCAGCTTTCTCTATTAGAACAGGTGCAATGACTGTTTGAATGAAGATGAAAAATAATCCATCTAGCTAAAGGACTTTGTGATCTGTGGTTACTGATTGTAATTTAAAGAGGCAGTGTTTTAGAAATAATTTGTTGTCAACCGTAAAAGTCCAAACCCTAAATCACTGCTGGAGTTTGGACTGTAATTCACACGGACACCACTTTCCTACACTTTCCTAAAGCGCTGCCTCAGCTCGATCCAACTCAAAGTCTGCTTATCGATGCAATACTAAAAGGTACAGTTAAACTCATTGACCTGAGGTTGCACTACATCCTTCATCAGCTGTATCTCTTTTTCTTCCACATTGTGTATTGACTTTACACTTCAGCAAGATGTTGTCATTACTTACAGCCTATTACAAATACTTGTAACATTTGCATGAGTCATTATTCCAGAGTTATAATCTCTAATTTATAAGCAGATTTTATACGTTTTTCAAGATTTTTCTGGCACTGGGCCCAGAACTGTGTTATCATGTTTCACTGATAATTAAAGTTGATGCTAAGGGGCCTGTCAAATGGCCTTATGTATTAAACATAGCATCAAGGCAAACCACGGAATATCAATCAGACTGATGAGTATGCAGTGATGCAGTGTTTCCACTACAAACATTTTGCAAGGTGGCCCGCAGCTGCAAGATTATTGCCGCCACTGCTTCAGAATCTTATGAAATATCAATAAGTCGCAATTGCTCGACTTTGCAGAGGGCTTTCAATTTGAAGCGAAGTATACAGTAAGTGGACACGTCCATGCATCTATGCATGCACAGTAGGCCTGCCCCCCGTTGCTGAAACAAATCCTAGAGGAAACAGTGGACTGTCTATTTATCATGTGTTTACATTGCTATTTGCTTTGACTTCACTTCACTCAAACAGAATGACAAATGACCTGTAATAATGTGGGCATTTGACTGCTATGGGAGCAATGCATCAGAGACAGAAAGAGTGGGATAGTAGCAATTAATTACAGCCAAACTAAGTTGTTTCATGTATGAACACGCATGGCAGAGCTGCTAACCCCGAAAGGATTGATTGATAGATGAATTTGTCTGATCAGTGAGCTCCTGTCACTTATATTCATCCATCCCAGCAGTCAAAACACCTTGTTGTACTAGGTGCTGGCCCCCCAGTTGTTTCCTTCCAGACTCCCCACGTCCATAAAGCACAATTCAAATGATGACCTTGCTGATCCTAGCCCAGGGAAACAGCTGGAGCCAGTGTCCTAGAATACCAATGAGCTTAATTAATCTCCCTTATTAAATACAAACAAGCAGCAGTCTGCAGGAAAGGGTGTGTGTGTGTGTGTGTGTGTGTGAGTGTAAGAGAGAGAGAGAGAGAGAGAGAGGGAGAGAGAGAGAGGGAGAGCCAGAGGGAGAGAGAGAGAGGGAGTGAGAGGGAGTGCGAGGGAGTGCGAGAGCAGAGCTCGTTCCACAAATCTCTTCACCCACCCACCATGATAACCCCTGTGAATGAGCTCAGCTCAGACGGCTCCCAGAAGTCCACAAATCAAAGTTTCATTTCCAGCGACCTGTAATATGAAAGTTAATAACTAGAGCGGAATAATTACATTATTCTCAATTTTTCATTCATGTTAACCACCACCGAGATATACAGTATGTTAATTAGTCCCACCATAATAATAATATATAATACATAATATATTCCCATTTTTCAACCTATGGGAGCACTGAATCAACAGGGGCTCCTGGTCACTGGATGTTCACTGCTCTTATTAATTCGTGTAGCTGGAGGCAAAGATACCTGGATGACATTTACTGTCGTAATGACTAATCACAATGATCCATCACCAGAAAGGAAAGCTGTGATGTTTCCCTCAACTGTGATGGTGACGTTTCTGAATCATAGCATGAATTTAATATTGCAGACAGATATTCAGAAACATCATATTGTGTATCAGACAGTCCTGGTTAGGAATGTGATACCATGGACCAGACATTTCCATCCTATCTGACAAGATGGCACCGGTTGTGAGGCATAACCTGAGAAAAATAGCAAAATAGGAGAGATGGGTGAAATGAAGGGAAAAGACAGAGAAGAGAAAGAGAGAATAAAGACATAAAAAGCAGCATAACACAAGGGAGACGAACAGGGACAAATACAAAAGAG